GTAGGGAAGTAAATAACAGATCCATCTTGCTATCCCCCAGTTTGGGAACGGACATAGCACCAGGCTGAACTTAAAGCAGCTGTCAAAAGTCCAGTGAATTCTGTGGCTATGAAAGTTCTTTGCGAAAACAAGTTCTGAGAAAAACTGAAACACCACTAGTACACTGGATTGCATTGTTTGTTTCTATGGAATTCCAAGATAAGCAAGCTGCAAATCGGAGGAAAATATTTTTCTTGAGTAAGTAACTTAGATGATTAGTTCTTCATCCCATTCAATAGCTGAAATGATAAATGCTGGATACACACAAGGCTGTCAAACCAACATTTTGAAAGTAGTGGGCAAGAAAGTATTTTTATTTGGGATATGTGTGATGATTCAAAATAAAAAATAAATGCTCTTCTTTAACACTGGCACAAAACCTATCATGCTCATTCCTTTGATATGACTGCCTCGTGATACAAAACCATCACATGAGGAAGGTTTACAGACAGTTGATGCACAGGAGAGCACATCTTCCAGAACTGATGGAGATTCATATTTTTCTCTTTGTTAAGAAACACGTATCATCAGGTGTGGTGTAGTCAGGATTTGATAAGCTACTTGGTAGGTCCCAGGATACTAAGGGTGACTGTTTCAGAGTTGAATGACTGATCTTTATAAATAGTGTCTTGACATTTTCTGTGAAGAACCATGGGACCTTCTAGGGCAAAGTATGTTTCTTGGATAGGAGGTGTTACCAGCTGGGTAGCAGAAAGGTAAAACATACAGAAACATTTTTATTTTCCAAACTATGTCCTTATAAATGACTGTAATGTATGGGGTGCCCTACAACATGTCTGAGAGACAAACAGGCATGTACATGTAGCCATGGGATGTACATGTAGCATTCAATTTTATGATTGATAATTTACATTTGCTTCAGCTGCAGCCTTCTATAATAACTGGCTGCTTGCTGCATCCTTGGGAAACTATACACTGAACAGGGTATTTTTACGACTTATTTGGGTTCTTAATTCAAGTCACTATGTTAGGACGTCCCTACATTCCCTGCAGATAACAGAGAAACAGAATTCTTTAGGGAGAGACTCAGAAGACCTGAAAAAAACCCTGGGTTTTTCCACTGACTCAACAGAGAGATTGGGGAGTTCTCAACTTGGAGATTTAAACTGAAGTTGAAGGTTTTGAGTACACCTCTGAAATTCTTGACCTGTTTGTAATATAACTTACTTCTTCTGGTGGACAACATTCAGATGCCTATAATGAACTGTCTTAAATACTTTATTACATTTTAGCAGTTTTGAAATGTATGATCTGCCAGTAGCACTTGCTGGCAAAAAGATGAGAACCATGAATGACTCAATTAATTTTCTTCAAATGTATTCAAAAATATAATTATGGGTTATATATCTGCTCTGAATAGTCTCTGAATATTTAAATATTGAAAAAAATTGATGGCAGACTGAAAGGCTTACAGAACTTGCCATAGGAATAGCTCATCGGTGCAACGAGGCTCTGACAAACAACATGCTGTCCTCTACATATTATGTGTACTTCTTTTCTACCAAATCTGAGAGATGCATTTTCTTGTTTTTCTTGGTGCAGAGGGGAATGGAAAACTTTAATGGAAAATATTAAGCTTATTCTATTAGACAGTCAGAAGTGGTACACAAAGACATGAAGTTGTAGAGACTGAGAGAAGCTATGATACTGCTAATATCATTTTGCAATATCTTTTACCAGTTGGAGATTGCCTTCAGTCTCAGAAAACTCCTAGAAATTAGGCAAAATCAACAGATAGTCTTACCTTTCCTAACACTGCCGAACAAAAATATTGCACATCCAGCATGATCCTTCAGCACAATTATCCATACCTTTACAACCCCACTTGGATAAATCAATAATTAACCTTGATTATAGCACCCCTGGAGACCACTCAGAAGCTTTTGCAAAATATGACTGCCCTCTTGTCCAGTGTTGAAACCAGCATCCTACTAATTTTCAAGAGTAATTCAATGTGTCAATTTTAATCAAATAGAAAATGCTTCATGCAATCCGTTCCTAAATGGCTGTTCTTTCTTACATGGGTTGTAATGTCTGTAAAATTGTAAAGTGCTTTGAAATTTTTTAATATGAATGGTGCTAACAAAAATCAAGTTAGCAGTACATTATTGCCAGCTGTTTAATTGAGAAAAGTGTAAAACCAATGCATTTTCTAAGTATCTGAGCAATCAGACAACAGTTAAAATCATCTTATAATTGTCACTCATGAAAAATACATACCTGAAAAGGCAAAGAATTATACTTCCTGTTGTAAGTGCAATCAGAGATACGCTGTGTCCAAGGGTATAAATTGCCTTCACCCTTACATAGAAGTTGACCTGGACAGAAATATATATATGCAGAAACCACTTACTGATAAGAAAAACTGACTGTGAAATCATAAAATTTTCTATTAAATAGCTCTGAAGGCTAAATAGCATTATTTTCACTCTTTGCTCTACAGTATGTAACGAGAATGCTCTATCTTTATTCCAACATATTTTTGCAATGCAACATATCAAGCCAATAGTAGAAAATTCAGCCTCAGGAACTCAAAACTTAAGACACAAAATCTGGTACAATTTCAGCTGATTATTTCATGTCAATAAGCTCAAAGAAAATAGCAGATTCATCGTTTTCCACAAACACAATCAGACTGGGAAGAATGAGCCACAGTTTGAAAGAATGGATTACCCCTGAAAGAAATAACCTCTCTCAATCCTTCTGCTCCAGTGTACTTCGTAATGCATTTATACATGAGTTTAATTTTAAAGACATATTTAAGTCTCATTAATTTCCTAATCCAATGTTCAAACACTTTATTAAATTGTGACCCAAACAGCCCTTTCTTTCTTTAGCAAAGTTATTTGCTAAAACTTGAAAATTTTTCTACAGAGGAGAAACAGACTGAAGTGCACAGTCTGCTGATTAACTGCAGTTATCTGTACATTAACCAGCTACATATTACATAAAATCCTATTCTGAATGACATCAAGAAAAACAATGCTAAATATTCTCAGAATAAATCTGCTTCTTCATTAATGCCTAAAACAAAGTCATTAGTCTGACATTATTTTCCACTGAAGCTAGATAAAATATTGAAATTGTAAAGTTTTTTACCATGTCATGACATTAAAGTTTTTAACAGCAGTGTAGGATGTGCTATGTATAACAGACAGAATTTCAATATTTAGTACACATGGTTGTATCACTCACTTTCTCAAATAATGTTTGTAAAAAGTGGGAAGGAAACAACACTTCAAAATAAGCTAAGATAGGAAAAGGAAAAGCAAATCACTTAATATATTTATTTTTATAGCGTTTAAAAGGCTAGGTAAAGAGGTAACTTTAGTAATCCCAATTCATGGTGAAATTAGCTGGACATTCACTTAGCAAATACAGTACAGATATGGAAAAGACTAAAGGAAATGTTAAATGAAATTAAGAATCTTGAAACTGCACTACCACAGATACAGTTAAAGGGGAAAAAATAAGGGAAACATAACTGCCATAGATCTTAAGTGTATTCACAGCAATTGCCATGCTTGTCAGGAGCTAAAAGTGGTATATGAGGTGTCACAGGAAGCAGAAATCTTTTTGTAATTAGAAAAGTAAGCTGTGATGGCCTTTCTGACAACAGTCCTGACATTTTAATGCTTTGTTTGCTTTACATAATATTTATTTACTGCAGAGAAAAAGAAGGAAAATATGGACCTAATGAAGTTTCCAATGACATTAGAATGACCATAAGAAAGTCCTGCCAAAATCCTGAATAAATATTTGGTTTGGGTTTGGGGTTTTATTGGTTTGTTTTGTTGTTGTTGTCATTTTTAAATTGGTGTCCCTGGGTAGTTAAAATGGTAAAACCTAAGGTATTACTTCATTGCTTTCTATAGACTGTATATTTGCAGAGCTCTGCTGCATTCCTAGGGACTCCCTGTGGGCATAAACCGTAGCTCTATTTCACCAAGCATTAGGTGTCTACACTGCAAATACAAACATCTAAGGCAACGCAGGGTTTCTTCATAGGGTCTTCTAGGAAACATTTCTTGTATATATGCAAGTAGTCAACATGGACTTCATTGGACATATTTCTACAGCTGAAGAGGCTCCACAGTGACTAATTTAAGTGTAGCTATCCTGAGTGTACAACTGCTTGCACTTAGACGGATGCCTCAAAAAGATCCTGGTTTTCCACACGAATTCCATGTTTGCCAAATAGGACTCTTAAATAGTCCAATTTTTCTTGAACGATGTTTCTATAATTGTTTCCAAATGCAATTCTTTTTTTTTTCAAAATTAACATAATTAGACATAAAATCAGTTTTGAAGAACTGTCCTTCAGTTTCCTGCTAGAATGGGAGAATTCTGCTCCACAGTTAGGCTAATTTTTGAAGAGCTCTAAAACCTTTGCCTACAGACTGTGGCAGATGCACCCACCCTACTAGAGACCTGAGAAAGACCCAACAAAAGACAGTGCTAAGGTTTCTGGCCCTGGTGGCGCCAGGACTGCCTCCCCCCTCACAGCTCATGTCTGGTCCACACAGTGGGGGGTCAAAGGCAGGAAAGTTGGGATCCTCAGCCAGTAGGGGGTGACACGACCATGTATTGACCACAGATCAGATTCGACCAGGGTATAAACGGGGCCCCGCTGGAGGACTCATTTGAGTCGGTCCTCCTCGGAGCAGCGGGTCTGCAGTCGGGAACTCTCCCCTTGAGTTGGGATGCCACTTAAGGAAACTTCTCGAGATTGAGAGCCCTCCCTTTTTGGTGAGTGAGTGAGTGCACATTTTGGATTGTTTGGCCAAAACTTAAGAATTCTTAATTTAGCCATGTCTGGTAATATTCCCAACCAGCATATCGAACCTGTATTTGTTAAATGTCAGTGGGATGTTGTTTTGGTGAATGAAGTTTTGTCTGCTTCATTTCAATTGCAGATTAAAGCTTGTCTGAGTTCATTATCTGTGTGCGTGTAGCCATTTTGGTGCAATTCTGTGACACAGACAAGCACTGCAGAGCACCCCTACACTTTTTAAATTTGGCTTTTGTCTGAACATATGCCAGTCTTCAGGCAATTTTCTGGGAACAGAGTGATAAACAGTTTCTCAGCAGCAATTACAACAGATCATGGCACTTAAAACACTATAAATACTTTGGGCACTCTCCTTCATTCATTCAACCTGACCTGCTCTACAAAATCTTGGAAAAAGGATGTTCTGATAAATGACTTAAAATTTGGCAACCTCATGTCCCTATCATCAGTATTCCGGAAGAAAATTAATTTTATTTCTTATTAATTTTATTTATCGTGCACAGTGGGATTTGCGAATGTAGTGTAAAGCGAAAAAAATATGCATAGCAGTTCCACAATATGTTGTATTTGTTATGAACTTGTTGGCACTTGAGAGCCCACTACAACACTCTTCTACTGAGTGTACAGACAGAAGCATCAATGGTCTCTAAAACAAAATTTATCAACATCCACCATGTAAATTTCAGGGAGATTAATGTCATTTGCAAAAGAAGTTGCAATGACAATGTATCTGTGTTGTTTAAAGTGGAAGATTTTCTGTTCACTTTCATGGAAAGGAATGCTTAGAAGAGATACCCTGTTAATCGTAACAGTGATGTCCAACATGACATTCCTGCAAAGCAGAGATAGGGGTCTCCCCAGGTATGCTAAAGCCCTACACACGACACTTGGTAAGAGTGCACACAGGGACAACTTTAAACCACTCATCTTCGTATCTTGGGAACTACCAAGTAGCTTAACAAATCCTAACAAGTTAAAGTAACCACTGACCTCCTGTAATTTCTAATTGTTAATAGCCTTCAAAAGGAAAGCACTTAAACCAGGACTTCTGATGTAAATTGTGTCCCGGCCCTTCACCATGCGCAGTAGAAATGACCTCTCCTATTCAGGTTTCTCATAGTGCTAGAAAATCTTAAAGCACCTGTAAGGTCCCTTTCTGCTGCTGAGCAGCCCAGATGTGCTATGAGTTGGTTATATGATCTGCTCCAAGAACAGTTTCACTAAGGAGCAGAAATAACAGACAAGTAGTGTGTGAGTTTGATACATGCCAACTCATGCATTTGCTGTGGAAGAGAGGACTAAACTGACCTAACGGACCTAACAGATATCCCATACTACATGATGCCATGCTCAGCAATAAAAGCTGGGGGAAGGAGGAGGAAGGAGGGCATTTGAAGTTCCAGCGTTTGTCTTTCCAAGTCACTATTACACACGATGGAGCCCTGCTTTCCTGAAGAAAGCTCAACACCTGCTTGCTGGTGGGAGAAGCAGTGAATTAACTTCCTTATTCTGTTTTGCTTGCACACACAGCTTTGGCTTTACCTATCAAACAGTCTTTAGCTGAACCCATGAGTTTTCGCACTTTTACACTTCTGATTCTCTCCTCCATCCCACTGTGGGCTGTGTGAAGCTGAGCTGCCTGGGGTTAACCTACAGCAGCCTTGAACCCCTTTTTCTGCAGATCTTGTAAAGAATTCTGCACACATATGATAGACAGGAATTATTAGGAAGCTGACAGTACTAGAAACATCACAGAATCACAGAATCACAGAATCTC